ATTGGGTATTAGGTTTTCTGCGTCTTCTGGTGGTGTTGGGACTGCACTTAGAGATTCGCTAAAATATTCATGCCATCTTTTGACTTGTTCTTGTGGCGCTGTAATATCTTCACCTGTAGCACTTTTTACAATTGGTTGGTGGGTAGTACATCTTTTATTGGCTAGTTGTTTAGTGATATTATATAATTGTCTCATGGTTTGATGTTCATGGGCGACTCGCGCTTCTTCGGCAAGATTTTCTGCCCACTTTCTTTTGTCTTTTTTTGCTGCCTTCTTGACAGCTTTATTCGCTTCTCTATAACTTTCTCTTAGTCGGTTCTTCTCTGCTGCTGTCTTGGAATTTAGTAATTCTAGATTAATGTGTTTGCGACGTTCTATTTTGTTCCACGTTTCTCTCGTAATCCACTGTTTCTTTACGTCTTTCTTTAGGCCCAGCACGTTTTCACTTGTTTCCACAATGCAAAATAGGGCAGGGAAATAAAGACGAAAATCCACGAATTGGAAACAACGAAGAGATTGAAATGATTAAAGGCTGTCCCTTACAAATAATTACCACCATATATTTGTTTTATTAACAATCAGATGTAATCACATCAAAGAGTATCAATACATATCAGAAAGGATTTTAAGAGCAAAGATAATATTAAAGAAGGAAGACCTAAACATCATCGGAGTATAAGGCCAAGAAAATAACAAGCCTCAAACAACAAGGGAAACGTTTTATGACCAATTACAAGTAGTAGATCAAGTCAGAGGGAAGATAATAATATTTGGGAATCAAGTAATACATGGAATTAAGCACAAACGAGGATATTAAAAATGAAAATGGAGAACTGGTGATAAACTTCTGCACGAGTAACGAACTTAGAATAAACAATACATTTTTTGACCACAAAGACCAACACAAATATACATTTAATAACACCCGTGGACAAAGATCTATGATAGATTATGTTATAACCATCAGCAGATGTAGATAGCGACCATAGCCTAGTATTATGTAAAATAAAAATCACCATGAAACACTTCACACCTAAGAGAGCGGCGCCAACACAAACAAAAATAAAAGTCGAAGGACTAAATACGGAATCCACGGAATACTTACTAATACTACTACGGATCAGAAAAAGAATATCAGAGAAGATCGCTGGGAATAAAGAATTAGATCACGATAACATCGAGGAAAGCTGGAAAAAACTCAAAAATAACATAATTAACACAGCATCACAATCACTTGGAGAGAGGAAAGTAACAAACACTAACACATCAAAAAAGAAAACAGCATGGTTTAAAACAACTATTAAAACTATTTAAAAAAATAATACAACCAAACAGAATTCACCAAGAATTAAGATCAAGCATCCTAATACCTCTCTTCAAAAAGGGAAAAAATTGGACCCGGAAAATTACAGAGGAATTAATTTATTAAACACAACACTAAAATTAACAACCAAAGTGATAACAAATAAACTGAATGAAATTGTAACACTAGCTGAAGAACAACAAGGTTTCATTTCGGGAAGATCATGCACCGACGCTATATTTATAATGAAGCAAGTGCATGACCAGTATCCTCCTGCATAGACCACATTAATACTGTGAGGGTAATAATGGAACAATCGGTTGAATGGAACACAGTCCCTATACATGGTTTTTGTTGATTTTGAACGTGCCTTTGATAGCTTGTCTCACGCTGCTGTATGGAAAATTTTAGAGCTAAGAAACATCCCGCAAAAAATAATTTCTATTATAAAGTCACTATATACTGATACGAAATGCAGCGTAACACACAATGGGATCAACAGTGACGAATTCGACGTACTTACTGGAGTTAGACAGAGATGCGTGCTTCCTCCGTTTCTTCTCAACATAGCTATATACTATGTTCTCTCCAAACTAGATTCCGACACAAGAGGGATACAATGGACGTTAACCACACGCCTAAGCGATCTAGAATACGCGGACGATATCTGCCTATTAGGTCAAAGGTTCCAAAATCTGGCTTACCAATTGGAAACATTTCCACTAAAGCCAATAAACTAGGTTTGAAAATCAATATTAGTAAAAACAAGTCCATGAGAATAAATGGAAGGAACAACACGCTATTTACTATCGACAATATGCAGATTGAAAATGTGGAAAACTTTACGTATCTTGGAAGTGTCATAATAGAAAACGGAGGTACAGAAGACGATATTCGTATGAGGATACGAAAAGCCAAACAAGCTTTCAGCACGCTCAACCCTGTTTGGAGATCTGACGAGTATACCACAAGGACAAAGATCCGAATATTCCGATCAAATGTCATGTCTGTTCTACTCTACGGATGTGAAACCTCAAAAGTGACAAACACCCTCACACCTATTTACTCTCTCAAAATGAAGACGATTTACAACGTATGCTGCACCAATTTAATATAACCGCCAGATAATCTTACATGTGAATTTCCCCAAAAAAGACAAAATGCATGGTTACAACAGCAAATTTACTAAAATAAAAATTAGAGCTGGAAGGTCAGATAATAGAAGAAGTGATGGAGTTTAAATATCTAGGCATCATATTACCTAGCTACCAAAAGCTCGAAACTGAAGTGGAAGTTCAAGTGAATAATATGGAGAAATAAAAATATCGGGAATGAAATGAAATGCAGAATTTACAAAGCGGCAGAAACACGACCTGACACAGAGAGGGAAACACTTGGAAAAATTGATAGAAGACACTATGTGACAGAGCTAGAAGTACAGATATACGACGTAGATACAAGGTGGAGAACAAGTAGAACTGGGTAAGAAATAGCAGAGTATAGAAGATATAAGCCGAATGACAACAAATAGAGTAGTAAAGACGGCAGAAGACTGCTAACAATAGGAAGACTATCAGTAGGAAGACCACGAAAACGATGGAATGACAACTTACTGGAGGCACATTGAAAAGTAGACGGAGTCATGTCTACATAAAAAGAAGAAGAAAAACAATAACAATCAGATATGCATCACGTTGGTTAAATTTCTATTTCACTGAAATAATGGCGACTATCTGATTTCATAGTTTGTTTGCATTTGGGATTACACAGCGATTGTACGTATCTTACCATTATCGAAAAGAGAGTACCCTCGTGAGAATAGGTACCCTCATTTAGGCACGTCTTGTAGTAAATGGTAAAAATTTTTAGCAACAAAAATATTAATTAAGAGGTGTATTTTTTGTAGTGATAAATAAATTAGTATTTAGCTGTTCTCCTCCAAGCGTTTAGGGCTTAGGAAAACACACCTCGCAGCAGCTGCAAGTTTTTTTATATATATTATAACGGATTGATTACGGCTGTCGCCGCTTCTCCGCCCCCAATTTATATCTTTTTCTGTCATATGCAGTTGCCTCTTCTAAGTCTCTTGCCGCCATTGCTTCATTAATATCGTTGCGCCAACTTCTCCGTGGTCGTCCTCTCTTTCTTCTTTCAGGAGGAATCCATTTCAGTACCTACTCTTCTAGGCCATCTGTCCTCTGGCATTCTTTTAACATGTCCGAACCAGACTAATTGCTTTCTTTCTATGTCATCATTGATATTTCGCTCCATTTTAATTTAGTTTCTTATTTGTTCGTTACTAACTCTCTCCAGTTTCGATTTACCGCAGATTCGTCTCAGATAATCCATTTCTGTCGTTATAAGTTTGTTTCTATTAGTTTTGGTGACATCCCATACTTCCTAACCATTAAGTGTAATACTTTGAACTATACTACCGTAAATGTGTTTTTTGGTTTCCCGTTGAATTGTTTTTTGCCAGAGAAGAGAGTTTAAAGCACGGGTCGCTGCTCTGCCCTTGTTTATTCTTTCTCTAATTTCATCTGCGCTATTTCCCTTCTTGTTGAAAATGACCCCCAAATATTTGCATGATTGTACGCCTTTGACTTTGTCGTCTTCCAAGGCTAGATCGCATATTTCATCTGTTCCCACTGAGAGATATTCACATTTTGTCATATTTATGTTTAGACCTGCCACCTCATATTCTTCTTGCAGTTTTCTTACCATATAGCTAAGATCGTAGCTGTCTTCGGCAATTACTACTTGGTCATCCGCAAAGAAAAGTGTATATAGCGTGTTTTCTTCCACCGCTATTCCCATGTTTCTACATTTTTTTACCCATTTCACTAAGGATCTGTCCAAATAGATTTTAAATAAGGTGGGTGACAGACAACAGCCTTGTCTTAGTCTCTTTGTTGTTTGAAAAGGAGAGGTGATTTCTTGTCCCATTTTAATTCTTGCAAAGTTAAGTTCGTAGTATTTTTGATTGGCGTTAATCAGAATGTAACCAAGGGTTACATGAAGCCGAACAACTAACTCAGGACAGAGAAGGATGGAGTGAAATCCTAAGAAACTGTGAAGGCCTGATGGTGTCACCACATCCCAAAAGGGATTAGAACTGAGGAGGAGGAGGAATAAGAATTGGGTTTATTTTCAAGTATTTTTATTGAACGTCCGGCCCTAAATCCCGCTTGTTCTTCGGGTTGTTTATCTTTAATATAATTTTCTATCAGGTTTCGTAGTACTTTTGAGTATAGTCGGCCTATAGTAGCAATCACTGCGACCCCTCTATAGTTTTTAGGATCCGTCTTTGTGCCTTTCTTGTGTATTGGAGGGATATACGATTGTCTTCATTCTTGTGGAACTTCTTCTCCGTTTAAACATCTTTCGAATAATTTTTGGATCATTTCAAACAGTTTTGATGATCCATACCTAATCAACTCTGGATGTTTTTTAGATTACGGAAAACTCTAAAAATTTTAATAATAAAATACTTGAAATCCCATTTCCTGGTAGTGTATTGAGTAACTATAAAATAAATTATCAAAAAACAGTGTCTAAATAGATCTATTTCAAATCCAAATATTTGTTCTTGCGACGATATTTTACAATTTATTACTAATGTCGTGAGAATATTAATAAAATAAAGTTAAGTAAAGTAACGTAGAGTAAAAATTAACGTTGTTTTTTTTTGTTTTAGTTAATTTTCAGTGGAGAATACACCAAGGCTATGAACAAGGACTGGCACGGCCAACATTTCTGCTGCTGGCAATGTGACGAAAGCCTCACTGGTCAACGCTATGTTCTCCGCGATGAACATCCATACTGCGTCTCCTGCTACGAATCAGTCTTCGCCAATGCTTGCGAAAAATGTAGCAAGGTCATCGGTATCGACTCTAAGGTAATACTTCCTTAAATAATATTACTATATATTTGTAATTGTTCTCCAGAAAAGTCTATACTGCAAAGCTGTAGGGTCTAGGATTTTCATAATTAGAGACATTGTCTTCAGTATGAGGGAACCATAATTTTAGCATCGGGGCTAGGATAATTGCTCACCCCAATGCTTGAACCTCAGGAAATATAAAAAAAACATTTTCTTTTATCGGTAAAACAACACCTAAACATATAGAAATATTATCTATTCACCGTTACGTGGTTTTTCATCATATAACTGTCCATCATATTTCTTGATTAACAGTCGAATATACTGACATTGGTGAATGTTGGAGCTCTCAGGTTTTAAACTCCAACAATCTTATGGTACGTTCTCTTTGAAATACATAGAATTCAAAAGTTCCATCTTCTATCGAAGGTTGGAAATCATCATGGCTATGAGTTACTGCATTCAAACCATTCCCTCAAGTTCTTAAGCCACGATATTCTTCGTCTTCCCACATTTCGCTTTCCTCGAATTTTGCCTTGCATAATAAGCTGCTATAATGAGTATCTTCGCACTCTCATTACATGGCCTAAGTACTCAAGTTTGTTTCTTTTGATAGTCAATAATATTTCCGCTTCATTTCCTATTCTTCTAGTAACTTCTGCGTTTGACATTCTCTCAGTCCGTGATATTCGTAGGATTCTTCTGTAACACCAAAATTTAAAGGCGTTAAACTTATTCAGATGCACTTGTTTTAATGTCCATGCTTTCAAGCCATAAAGACGAGTAGGAAATACTTAACATCGAAGCATATTTAGGCGTAGTCCTAACCGTATATCCCGACAACAAAAAAACTTTTTAAGTTTAACGAATGAAGCACATGCTATTTCAATACGTATCTTAATTTCTTTGGTTTGGTCTACATTTGATGTTATCCGTGTTCCTAGGTATTTGTAGGTATCCACACTCTCAATTTCATTATCGTCAACACTCAATTGGATGTTTGCATCTGCTGATTATGCATTTAGTTTTTTTTTTAATTCATTCTTAGTCCGTATTCATTACAGCATTCATTAAGTTGTTGCATTGTTGTTATCCTTCATTATTACTGTATCATCTGCAAAACGCAAGTTATTCAAAACTTCTCCATTGATAGATATACCTTCTATTGAATCTGAGAGCCCTTCTTTAAATACCGCTTCACTGTATACATTGAAGAGTAGTGGTGACAGCACGCAACATTGGCGGACTCCTCTCTCTATTTTGATATCTCGGTTGTTCTGGTTTTTTTTGGCAGTTTGATAATATAGATTAGATATAATTTTCAAACAACGACTGTCAATATTTTTGCTTTTAAATATATCTACAAGCTTTTGTGTTGAACCTTATCAGATGCCTTTTTAAAACCTACAAACGATAAGTACATGTCCTAATTCATATCCATGCATCTCTGGGCCAGCACATTCAAGCCGAACAAACCATCTCTTGTGCTCATACTATTTCTAAAGCCAAATTCTGTGTCACTAATTTCATATTTTTTAATTGTGTGATATTTAAATAGCTAGTATTTTCTACATTTGGCTTCCAAAACTAACGCGATCCATTAAGTTGAATTAAACGATGCGAACAAGATACAATTGTGTCGTAAACGAAGCAATGAAACAATTAGACCAAAATTGGTTGAAATCTCAAAGATTGTAACCCTAGACTGACCAGAAAACATAAGATCCTATCTTACGAACTTCCGAATCCACTATAGACCAAACACACTGTTTCTACATTTACTGGGATCAGTTGCTATACTTATATACTCACATTTATATGCTTATAAAATAGTAAACGTTTTTCTAGGATTTGTCCTACAAAGACAAGCATTGGCATGAAGCCTGCTTCCTCTGCACTACCTGCGGAGAGTCCCTGGTAGACAAACAGTTCGGATCTAAAGGTGATAGAATCTACTGCGGCAACTGCTACGACCAACAGTTCGCCTCCAGATGCGACGGATGCCATGAGATCTTTAGAGCTGGTAAGTGATTTCTTTTTAATTATATTTAGTATTGTAACGGTTGTAGAATTACGATCACAGTTCGAATTATTTACACTTATGTACACGGATATTCAAGACTTCAATATTTGTGCACACTTATGTACACAAATGTTCACAAATATTCTTACTTTCCGTGTCTGAACACCAACAGCTTTAAATTTTGTGTTTTCAATGGTTGGCCACATAGATGGCCCTGTCGTTCGCTAAGAATAGGTCTTCTTCTGTGCAGGTCTATCTCATCTCTGTGTATAATAATAGATGGTGACTATTCTGAACCGCGCCACTGTCGCAGGTATTGTTCTCCTGGTATCCCCATTTCTTCAGGTTACTAGCACAACGTGAAACGCCAACGTCTCTTTAGCGCTTTGCATGTGGGATACGGCAAATTGCGTCCAGTGGCCATTTCCTCTCAAAGAGCAAAAGGTGTTGTAGCTGACGCTTGACATAAGTGTATTCTTTGGCTCTTCGGGAAGGGATCGTAATTTTTTCAGAAAACTTTTCCAACATCTTAATCTACTTAGCTGAACTTGGTGTTCATACAAGCTTCGATCCGCCTCCTGCATCTTTCGTTCTATCTCTGACGTGACCCGTCGTATGATAGTAGGTGGAGCGATTCCAACTATAGAGTAGACCTCTTGGATAGGTGTCGGTTTTAGGCAGCCAGATATACGAACCATTTCATTTAACGCAACATCGACGTTTTTAGTGTGAGCAGAGTTTTCCCATACTGGTGCTCCAAACTCGCCGACAGAAAAATATAATTTTAAGGAGATTGTGTGGTTTTGCTCCCCATTTTGTGTTTGTTAGTTTGCGGATGATATTATTTCTGGCGCTTACTTTTTTATTGATCTCTTGAAGTGATATCGATAAGACAAAGTTTTATCCAGACGTAGGCCGAGGTATTTTGGCGTATCTTTGTGTTCCAGCACGCCATTCCACCTCCAGTGTTCTTCGGGCATGCTTGTTTGTAAGGTAAAAAGCACACACCTGGGTTTTTGGTAGGATTGGATTTCAGATGATTTTCGTCATAGTATAGTGCTAAGTCTTCTAGGGTATCTGTTAGTTTTACTTCGACTTCATTGAAGGTACTTCCCTGGGCTGCCGCAGCTGTATCATCCGCGTAAATAAACTGTCTTGTTTGTTGGTTTTTGGGTTGGTCGTTGGTGTAAATGTTGTATAGCAAATGCGCGAGGACACTTCCCTGTGGCAGTTCATTTTTTTATCCCTTCACCGACTGTTCTTGGACTGGAGCGGTACGTAGAAGCATCTATTCTGGAGAAGATATTTCATTAACCTTGTTAGTCGAAAATCCTTTGTAATTGCGTAGAGTTTTACCAATCATATTCAAGATGTATCTCCCGCGTTCGATGAAATATGAGTCACGCTGAAATTGTAGGTCATTTATCCGGCCGGTCTACAGGTATGTCAGCGTGACAGTATGTTACAGATTTTAAAAACAAATGTAGATAGTTTAGACCGGAATATGTACATTTGTGCAAAAAACATGAAGAAAGAAAAACACGATGAAAGCAAAAAACTATTAGAAATGAAGTATACTAACGAATGAATAGAATAATCGAACATAACAAGTACAAACAGATTTAACTGCAACGGTGACGATTTGAAACGACCAGACAGGACAGACGTTGGTTGATGCGGTGTTGCCTAATCGAATATTATTTTAGAGGTATTGAACTGAAATATTAATACTCCATAATTACTGTAATGAGTTTATAATTATATTTATTATCAGAGACTAATATCAAAGTTAAAATGTTTGAGGTAATTGATAAAATATATTATTTGCTGAAGTTATTAGTCATAATCATTAAAATAAACTGAATGAATGAAGTCTATTACATTTGAAAGCTAAATTTGTTTCATATTGAGATTTGCAATATTTAGTTAAAATAAATTGTTTCCAACAGTTATGGAAATAAGCTTAGAAAAAGAGAACCTCTTAGCTTTTAATATGAAAATTCAGCAAACTATTTCACGAATTATGAAGTTATCTGACAACCTAGCAAAAGAACTAAAATTTATGTGCAATTATTACGCTTCGGACGCTTGCATAAAACTGATTATTGGATATTGGATCCTCCTTTTATCTTGTGTACTTGACAACACTGTATCAGATCACAGAACGGTTTTAGTGGAACTTGACTTTGAAGCTGAATTGTCATACTTTATACAAAAAAGCCAATTTGGTGAGGAATCGATAAATCACTTTATCGTTAACCTCATTAACGAAAACTGGAATAATGTTTATGGAATTTTAGACACTAATCTAGCATTTCAAGCTTTTATAAATATCTTTTTGTATCATTTTAATAATAGCTTTCCATTAACAAGGAAAAAAATCAGAACAACTAAAAATAAATGGATTAATAGTGAAGTGCGAAAGTCTAGTTTTAAATTAAGAAATTTACACGCTTTATCACGGGCAGAACCAATTCTTTGAGATTTTTATCAACAACAAAGGAAAAAGCATAGAAAACTTTTGACCAAAACAAGAAAAGATTATTACCATAAAATCATTACTTCGTCTGATAATCCCGATAAAATCACGTGGAAAGTTGTTAATGATTTCTCAAAAAGTGCTAATAACAATGCTAATACTTTTTTAATGTATGATGACAATAATATAATAACAGATCCCCAAGAGGTAGCATGCACTTTTAACACATTTTTTTAAAATGCACCCATTGATATCGTGTCGAAAATTCCAGATAATACAGTAGACAAAGACAGTCAGTCAATTATTACAGATCATGAAAATTTCTTTCAATTGTACCCATTTACTGGGCAGGAATTGATCGAACTCCTCCAGAGCAAAACTTGAAAACAAATCCTCTAGTGGTTTTGACGAGATACCTGCATTTTTGGTGAAAAAAGTTTTACCTTTTATAATCAATCCTTTAACTTATCTAACCAATTTGTCTTTTTGCAATGGGGATTTTCCTAATAAGTTAAAGACAGGCAAAGTAGTTCCCATTTTTAAAAAAGGAGATCCAAAACTGGTCAGCAATTATAGGTCTATAACAATTCCCAGTATATTTTCAAAGTTATTTGAGTATGGATATTTAAAGAGATTAAATGGTTATCTAAAAAACAATAATATCATAACTATAAATCAACATGGATTTCAAGAAAATAAATCTACTAATACGGAAGTCCATGCATTTTATGCTCATTTAACCAGTCTGATTGATGCAGGCGAATGTCCTATTGGAATATTTTGTGATCTTAGTAGGGCATTTGACTGTGTAAACCATGAAATATTATTTAAAAAACTAAAACAGATAGGTATTACAGGAAACTCTTTAAAGTGGATTATGTCATTTCTAAACAATAGACAACAATATGTGAGCCTGCAGACAAGGATCGAGGATTGTGTGACCAGTTGTAGATCTAGTCTTGTTACTACAAACATGGGTGTTCCCCAAGGATCTATAATAGGACCAATTCTCTTTGTAGTCTACATTAACGTCATCGTACAAGTGGACCGAGCGGTAAATTTCACTATATATGCGGATGATCCGTCAATTATTCTATCTAACAAATCCAACGTAATCCTACAACATCAATGTAATAATTTTCTTTCATCTTTATATTCTTGGTTTTGCGATAACTCGTTGCATCTAAATGCAGAAAAAAACGCAAGTTATACATTTTCACAATAAACAAAAATACTTGGAAAATCTTCAGCTTATTTTTAACAACATGCAAATAAATACGGTGTCGTCAGGCAAGTTTTTGGGAATAACGATTGACGAAAGTTTGAATTGGAAGTTGCATTGTGGAGCGGTTGTTTCGAAGTTGAGTTCCATTAACTATCTAATTAGAAATTTAAAATATGTTCTGACGGAAAATCAGCTAATTATGATTTATTATGCACTCATAGAGTCCAGGCTAAGATACGGGATATGTTTTTGGGGTATGTCTGGTTATGCAAATGGTATTTTCGTCATACAAAAGAAAATATTGCGTTGTGTCGCTGGTGTCTCCCGACTAACTAGTTGTAGAGAATATTTTAAAAAATATAAAATTTCAACATTGGCGTGTTAACATTTTTGAATTATGTGTTTTTATTTTTAATAACTTACATCAGTTTAAAACGAGTGGTGATATGCATAATTTCAATACTAGATATTGTAATAAACTTTATATACCATTTTCAAAAGGTAACATTAAATTTAAATCACCCGGGGTATACGGGCTACAGGTGTTTAATCATTTGCCCACAGTTGTAAAGTCCACCAGTTCAATAAATGTATTTAAGAGGAATCTTAGGCAATTTTTATGTGAAAAAGTGTTTTATACAATCGAAGAGTTTTTTAGATCTTAGATATTAGCTGTATTTCATTTAGCTTTTAAATTCATTCCATGTCTTGTTAAGTCTAGTTTAGTGTTTAGTTTGTAGCAATGTATATTTATGACTAATTCTATACAAACTATGTTTGCCAGAAAGAAAATAAAGAATTTAATTTAATTTAATCTATGAAGTGACCTTGAACGTTGCAGTTCATTATTTTGCTCTTCTGAGACGCAGATGAGCGAAATAACTAGTTTACAATATTCTAAATTCTTATAATATCTACATCTTAAAAGGAAAATAACCTGTTCTATTTATTAACTCATTGTTGGTCATGTTTTTAACTTAATAGCTTCTGTGTCAATTCGCTCCAATATTTCTTGTTTGTTATTTAATTTTTCATTAATCAACTTTTTCAGTCAAGTAGATGCGTCAAAACCATTTAATTGCCATTACTATTATCTGATTGATACATTTAATTAACCAAATTCGACATTAATTCAAGAAAGACTGAGTGTACGTGTCCAATTATAGTAAAAGTGTGAAAAATTATAGTAAAAGAGCGGCACGAAGAACGAATTTATAGACTCCCACACACCTTTAGATTATTAATGGACTTAATTGAATTTTGTACTTCGAATGTCTTTCGTTAGTCACGATACAT